ATGTCTTTGTAAGAGCAGAAGATTTAATTTTTGATTAAATCTAATTTACCAATTTTCAATTTATCATTTAGTTTTTATTTAGTTTTTTTGTGACCACTTTAAGAAATCCTTGCTACACCAATATCACAAAGTCTATGTTTTGTTTTAGAGGCTTCATGATGCTGACTTTTATGGTTAAATCTATGATTCATTTCAAATTAATTTTTGTGTGTGTGCGAGGTAGGGGTCCAGGTTCAATTTTTCCTTATGCCTATTCATTTGTTTCAGGGTCATTTGTTAAGAGAACTTCTCTTTCCTGATTGAATGGCCTTGGGGGTCTTTGGCAAAAATCAATGAACTCTATGTATGTGGGTCTATTTCTGGACTCTATCCTGTTTTATCAAACTGTTTGTCTACCACAGGAAGGTTTTGGGTGGGTGTCATGATCTGATTTATATTTTAAGTAGATCAATCAGGGTGGGAAATAGGATAGTGCAAAAGTAGAAGCAGAGCGACTTGTAGTTTGAAGGCTACTCTAATAACTCAGGCTTGAACTGATGCTGCTTGGGTTGGGTATTCGGAGAGGACACCGTGAGGAGTGGCAGATTTGGGATATATTCTGAAGTCGAGCTGCCAGGACTTAATGACGGTTTGCATGTGGGATAGAGGAAAGACTGGAAAAGGTGGGTGGCTGCAAGGTTTCTGGTTTGATCAATGGGAAGAACATGGTTGCCATTTAGTGAGATGGGTGCCAGGACGCTCAGGCATCTCTGGTCTAGATCACAATAAAGGTACAAATCTGGTGAGACAAGAACTCAGAAGAGGCACAAACAGCTCGAAGGGTTGGGGGAGGGTCAGAGAAGTCTTCCTGGAGGGGTGGCATTTGAGCTGGGGAGGGCATCCCTGCGAGGGAAGAGCAGGAGTGAAGGTTCATTGCAGGGAGACACGCCCCACCCTTGTTGGCCTGATCTTCAAAATCCTTGTTGAATGATTGGATTTTGTGCTCTGAGGTCATCTCATCCATCCCACTGTCTCACCCAGAGTGCAGGGTGCCCTGATGGTGCAAGGTGCATACACTCACGACCCTTTGGCTCATGGCACTCTCTACTGGTCACACCCCCTGGCTCAGTGACACCTCACCACAACCCTGACAGGTGGGCTATAGAGCACAGTGGTTAAGAACGTGGGTTCTGGGGCCAGACAACCTTGACTGGCTGACCTAAGAAAGGTTACTCTAAGCCTGAGTCCCTCACCTGTCAGATGGGAATAATATTATAGCATTTCTCAGCGGCCTCACAGGTTCACTGCAGGCTTAAAGGAGACCTGATGAGGAAAGCATCTTGCAGAGAGCCTGGCTCTGAGCAGGTGCTCAAAATATTTGTGCAGTTACTATTCTCCCCCTTCATCAGGTCAGAAAACTGAGACTCAGAGACATTAAGAAGTCTGAGTTCTCACTCAGCAGTCAAGGGAGACTAGGAAGTCAGCCCAGGTGTCTCTTTACTCACCCACCCAATTAGGGCCCTTCGTCTTGGTGGCCCTGCTGAGTCCCCCATGCCCCAAATCCCCCAGTGTGCACAGACCTGCCTGTCCAGGCCCACTGTTTATGAGTGAGCCCTTCTTTCCCTTGTTCTGATGATGGCGAGCGGGGGTGCCCACAGAGGCCACTCCAGTTAAGGGAGGGCCTGGGATCCAGGACAGAGCAGGCAAGTGCTTTAATGTGGTTTGGGGTGCTGTTGGTAAGGGTCACACAGGCCAGCAGGGGCACACCCCCTCCCATCACTAGGAGATGTCAGCTACAAGCTCATTTTTCACCGGCTGACTTGAAGTCTGTATCTGGCCTTTCGTCTTTCTCGTCCTTATTCTTGGTGGGGTGGGGCAAGGATGCCACCCCGCTGGAAGCCAGAGCTTCCACAAGAGGGGCAGGAGGGGTCTTTCATAAAAGAAGCAACCAGGTGAAGAGTGGAGGCTGCTCTGTTGGGGGAGGAAGAGGCCATGGAAGGATGGAGCATCCAGAGAGAGGGGTGAAGGGCTGGCAAGGTGGGAGGACCAAGAGAGGGGTTGGAGCAGACCCTGGATTGAGAAGACCTCAGCACCTAGCACAGGACCTGGCCTTAAGTGATGCTTGTAATATCTTCGTTTTTTCTTTTCTTTTTTTTTTGAGACGAAGTGATTCTCCTGTCTCAGCCTCCTGAGTAGCTGGGATTATAGGTAAGCACCACCATGCCTGGCTAATTTTTGTATTTTTTTTTTTTTTTAGTAGAGATGGGGTTTCACCATGTTAGTCAGTCTAGTCTTGAACTCCTGACCTCGTGATCCATCCGCCACAGTCTCCCAAAGTGTTAGGATTACAGGCGTGAGCCACTGTGCCTGGCCCAGTGCCTAGGTCAAAAATGGAACTGGCCCCAGTGATATCTTTATGGAATGACGAACAAAGAGTACCCAGGAGGTGGGCACCTGTGACAGAGGGATGCCGTGAGGAGGCAGGGTGAGAGGCTTAGAGCAGCCTCTGGAGCCTTTGAATTCTCCCCCACTCACCTTGGGTATCTTAAACTCCCTGAGCCTCAGCTTCCTCCTCTGTGATATGGGATAATAATGGTGCCTACCTCACTGGGTTAATATAAGAGAAGCCACAGTCTATGGCATATAGTAGCTGCTCAGTAGATGTTAGCCTTTATTGTTAGTTTCTGTATGGGCAGGTGGCCTGTGAAAATCAAAGGGCTGCTGGGTGCGGTGGCTCACGCCTGTAATCCCAGCACTTCGGGAGGCCGAGGCAGGTGGATTACCTGAGGTTGGGAGTTTGAGACTAGCCTGGCAAATATGGCGAAACCCCATCTCTATTAAAAATACAAAAAAAAAATTATCTGGATGTGGTGGTGGGCACCTGTAATCCCAGCTACTTGAGAGACCGAGGCGGGAGAATCACTTGAACCTGGGAGGCTGAGGTTGCAGTGAGCCAAGATCACCCACTGCACTCCAGCCTGGGTGCGACAGAGCTAGACTCTGTCAAAAAAATAAAAATAAATAAATAAATAAAAATAAAAAAGAGAGAGAGAAAAAAAAAATCAAAGGGCCATTGTAATGGGTCTTCAGGGAACCAGTCCCATAACCAGCCAAGACAACCAGTCCTGGAATTGTTGAGTTCAGTGGTTGGCATGGTAGTGAGTGAAGAAGGCACCAATAAACCTGGCTTGAAATTTCAACGCTGCTATATACAAAGTTAACGACTTGGCAAGGGACTCTACCAACTTGAGCCTCAGTTTTGCTCATCTGCAAAATGGGACTACATGGCCAACTTGTGCTTATGAGGATTGGATGAGAATCCTTGCAGATGTTCCTAGCACATAGTACATACTGTCTGTACAAGAAATCCTTTTCTTTGGTATTCGATACTGAGGAGATGTTGGGTTTTCTGGTGGTCCAGCTAAAACAGAAGCCCTCTGGAACACCTGACACAAGCTGCAGTCCCAGTGCTCGTCAGTCACCACTCTCAGTCCTTGGTCATGAGTGGCCTGGGTTAGTGGCTGTGGACTGCGCCAGGCAGCCCCCGAACACTACAGGAGTTTTGGAGTACAAGCCCAGGCATCTCGGGCTTAGGGAGGAGCTGCTGGGGGCTGCGGATCAAGGTTCAAAGGACATAGGTGAAAGGACAAGTACAGGTCATCGTGCCCATCCCCTGCCCTCACCCACCCAGTCCATACAAACAACCAGAGTCTTGTCTATTTCCAGCAGTGAAGATTCCACATCTCCCCCTTCCCTGCCCTGAGTCAGCGGGGAGGAGAAGTATAAGGGGAAGGGAGTGAGTTCTTTGTGCTTTGGGGATCCCTGGGTTGGTGCTCTGTGGGGAGAGGAGCAGATCATGGACAGGGATTGGGCTCTTGGGCTGAGCTAGCTCTGGGCACCCAGTGTCCTCTTTGCCTGCCTCCCACATACCCACAGATGACAGGGCTTTCATTGTACTTAAAAGTGTAAGCCAGAGCGATACCTTCCATGTCCTATGTGTTCCTGACCCCAACCTGCCAAAGCTTCCTATGATTTTCAGAATTCCAAAACCTGATCCAGCAAGCCTGCAACCTCCCAGGTTCACAACCCTTATGCAGCAACTGTCCTCTGAGCTCACTGGGCTCATGTGCAACCCAGAAATTCTCCCTGTCACCTCCCTTGTTCCCACCTGTGATATAGAAAACTTCCCTGAGCAGGCCGTGACCTCGAGGTTCCTCTCCTTGACCCGACAAATGTCCCCTGATCTCTTGTGCTCCTGAGGCTGACTGGAAAAATCTTGGCCTCCCCTGGTCTTCACACTGACCTTCTATGCTTCTGACTTGACTCAGCAACCCTTCCTGAAGAAACCCAACTCTTGTGTATTCTTTATCTACCCAGCAAACTTCCTGGTTCCATTTTTGACCTAGAAAACCTCCCCTGTTTTTAACACCAATCCAGCAGATTTTTCTGACTTTCCATCTTTTTTATCCGGGCTGTGCAAACTCCCTGACCTCTTATGTTGCTGACCCAGCCCAGCAACTCCCTTGCTCTTCCCCAACTTCTTGTGTTCCTGACGCAACCCAGCAAATCTCCTCAGTCTCTTGTTTCTGATCCTTCCAGAAGACCTCCCAGACCGCTCAAGTTCCTGACCTAATCCTAATCGAAAAGTGCTTTAAATGGTTTGTAATTTATATCAAATTAAACTGGCTTTGAAGCAATTCCTCTGACCTCCCCTGATCTCCTGTGTCCCCGACCCTGTCTAGCAAACTCCTCTGACCTCTCATGTTCTTGGCTCAACCCAGCAAACTACCTTGGCCTGTGGGTACCTCCCCACACATGACCAAGGATCTTCTCCAATCCAGCTCAGCAAACCCCGCTAAGAACCCTAACTCTACCCTTTGCGCTCCAGTTTGCTCCATTTCCAGTTTGCTCCATCTCCTCCCCCTCTCCATAGGTGTCCACAGCCCGGGAACCCTATTCCAAGGCTCTCACCACACCCAGGTCTGCAAGGGCTCTACAGAAGGGCCCCCACCAAGCCTTACCCAGCGTGACCTCTGCCTGCATGGGCATCGACAGTGCTGGGTGCTTGACCTCGCAGCTGAAGAGGGCCTCGTTGTCAATCTGTGGGTTGAGGGTCCAGGTGAGCAGGGCGCGTACTTCCACAGTGCCGTCGCTGCTCGGGGTGCGGCTGTGGCGCAGGAAGTAGGTGGGCTCGGCGCTGTGGACCCAGCGGGGGAACTCACGGCTCACGACCGTCTCTGGTATGTTCTCTGTGGTTGGCTGGAGGAGGATGTTGGGATCTGGGGTCAGGCCATGGGAGGGGCGCTCCGTGTAGGGTCGCCCACCCCGGTTCTCGGCATCCAGGAGGGACAGTGACTTCTGCATCTTGGTGTCATCCAGGTCACGGTGCAGAAGGCTGCGGAAGGGCCTGCTGTCCTGGAGGGGGCCGGAGCTCGCAGCTGGTGGCTCTGATAGGGGTACTGCGTCGATTGGTTCCCCATCTCGTTTGAAATAAACCTGCCATTGCAAGGAGGGTGTGGAAAAAGATTTTGTGCTACTAACTTCAACCTCCCAGTGGGCTCTCCGATGAACTGGGCACAGGATGCCAGTTCTTCCAGAGCATAGCAGTCTAGACAGTCACCCACACCCCACTCCTTTCCCTCCAACACCGCCAAGAACTATGAGCCAGTGTGGTATAATGGGAACACATGCAGGCCCTTGGGGCAGAGGCTTAGCCCAATCCCATCATTTACCACCTGGTGAGGTTTTTTGAGCCTCAGTTTCCTCACTTGTCAAGAGAAGAACAAGACACCTGCTTCATGGGGCCGTTGGATGTGTCAGTGGAACCACGTGGGAAATGGGGACCTTGGCCTACACCATGGCAACCACCTGGGGTCCAAGGGCACCACTCGGGGAGGGCATGGGGATGAGGGAAAAATGGAAGGCACCAGAGATTGAGAAGTTGGGAGAGGACGAGGAAAGAAAGAGTCTGTGTGCGTGTGTATTTTGGAGATGGAAGGCAGAAAACAGGTGTATGTGTGGGAGGAAGCTAGGTGTGGGGAGGAGGTGAGAGCAAACATCTCCTCGCTTTCTCTGCTAATGGGAGCTCAAGTTTTGCGAGGCGGCATTTAATTTAATTTGCTGTCTTTTTATTTTGGTACATGTACCCAGAGGCCTGTGGGGATTAGATGTATTTTTAATAAATCAGATAAATATATTGATAGGGGGCCAGGAGAGGGAAAAGTAGGATGCAGCTCTCTGGGACACAGGTAGGGGAGCGAAAGGAAAGTGTGCAGGGGGAGGGGCTGCAGGGGGGTGAAGGAGGTGGGAGGGGATGGGGGGTATGAAATGTGGGATTTTTGTCACAGTTTGTAACGTCAATGAAGAGTCTCTTATGCACATGATAGCCTGCATTGGGTTTTTTTTTTTTCCCCCATTTATTTTCTTCTTTTCCTTTTTCTTTTTGAAAAGTGCTTTAAATGCAGGTTTGTAATTTATATCAAAAGAATTTCTTTAAAGTTCTGATGTCTCAGGCAAACATAAGATGCCTGGGATTTGGGGAGATGAGGTTCTTTTGCATGTTTATATCTGAATATTTTATTGCCATGTCGCAAATGTCAGGGCAGGCAGACAGGATGGGTAGGAGGGGGGTCTTCCTACAGCCCCTGGACTGTGAAAAGCCTTTCTTTGTGCCTTTCAGGAAAGGACTTTCTGTTTGTGAGAAAAAAACAGCTTTCCTGATTTTAGGGAGACTGGACCTCTTTAGGGCCTCCAAAGGAGAAAATCTGGGGTCACGTCCTGCTTTCAGCAACTGGCTTTGAAGCTACCTTTTTTGGTCCACTTCCTAGGGACTGAGGCTTGTCTCTGTTCCCCTGCCCACCGCCCCACCTGTGTCTCTACACCCCTGCCCACTGCCCCACCTGTGTCTCTGCGCCCCTGCCCACTGCCCCACCTGTGTCTCTGCACCTCTGCCCACTGCCCCACCTGTGTCTCTACACCCCTGCCCACTGCCCCACCTGTGTCTCTACACCTCTGCCCACTGCCCCACCTGTGTCTCTACACCCCTGCCCACCACCCCACCTATGTCTCTGCATCCCTGTGCCCCTGCCTGCTGCCTCACCTGTGTCTCTGTGCACCTGCTTACTGCCCTGTCCTGGGCCTCTACATACCCATTTACCACCCTGCCCCAGTTCCCAAGGCAGGGCTGGCCTAGATTCCCAAGGCCACACCATTGGACCATGCCTGGGAGACAGTTGGGTCTGGAATGAGGGGAACCATTTGGCTCCCGTCTTGAACTGTAACCCTACATACCCATCGCTCTAGCTCCACACCTTGCTAAATCCTAGTACTGTATGAAACTCATAGGATCAAGACACAAAGTATTACAAAATGTCAAAACCGAAAGGGTACGTAGCTTGAAGGTTCTCCAAACAGGCTTCATGGAACCCTACGGGTTCTAAAGTGGTGCTTCAGGTGTCAATGAGAGTGACTTGGCCTCTCTTCACTTTTAAATGTCATACATATGAGGTTTCCCTGTATACCATTTAGACCAAAAGGGTCCTTGTGCTTCTAAAAATGCTGAAAAACGAATATTGTCCAGCCCCCTCAACTTCGTTGCAGAAACAGAGGCAGAGGTGGGGAGGGGGGATTTCCTGCTCACCGTTGTTCGGTGAGTACAGCATGGCCGGGACCCCAGCTCTCCAGACGCTGCACCTCCTACCCTAACCCCTTCAAGAGGTCATGAAAAATCTCATGAACTGCACTGACAAATATCTAAGAAACTACGCTGGGTCTAATAAGTTGGTCAAAAAGGAATTTCCTCTCTCTTCCCTCCCTTCCTTCTCTCCTTTCCTTCTCTCCCTTCCATCCTCTCCCTCCTTCTTTCAGATGGGATTCCTGATGATCACATGGGCTTCTGGGAAGGCCAGTGAACCTGGAGCTAGAGACACGGACCTGAGACCCAGCTCTGTCGGGAGTGCCATGGTGACTTGGGACAAGCCCCTTTCCCTCTCGGGGGGCCCCCTTTCATTTGTCTCCATTGGACTCAATAACTGAGGTTGACATGCTGGATCCTGGGCTCCCCGGAAGGCCACTCCTGCTGTGAAGTTCTAGGACTCTGCCTCCAGGAGGAGTGGGGGTTCTCAGCATGGGGAGATGGGGAGCAACAGGGGCACATGGATGCCTGGGCCGATCCGATGGGTAAACGGGATCGGACAAAGGCAGATGGGGACAGAGTCAGCCCTGGCCAACCACTCCCTCTCCAGGCACAGTGGAGACACCTACAGCTGGACCAGCCCCGAAGCAGGGTGGTTCGGCAGATGGGAAGGAGCTGGGCGCTCCAGGGGTACTCACCATGGGTGCTGGTTTTCCTCCAGACACGATGCAGACTAGCGTGAAGTTCTGGGCTTGGTAGCGGCTGAAGGGGGCTGGTGTGTCAGCGGCCACCACTTCAATGGAGGTGGGAGGAGCTGCCCCAAAAGGAAGCACAGGAAGACAAAGACTCAACCTGGAGATTCAGGAAGAGTTCACTGACCACCTAAGATGGCCCAGGTCCATGTTGGATGCCAGGGGTGGGGGAGGGCAGGTGTTGTCGAACGCCAGGGGGTGCCATTGGCATCCATTACAGTGAGGAAGATGTCCTTGCTGGGAATATAGACAAGAGCCCTGTCCTCCTGGAGCTTGCAGCTTAGTGCAGAAGACAGACAGGAATCAAGAGATGGCACAGATCAAAGTGTGAAGTGCATCCGATCCCCAGAGGAATCACGGTGTGTTGAGGGGACTCTGCCCGAGCCTGGGAGTTCCAGGCAGACGCTGCTGAAGCAGCCACATTGCTGCTGTGATCTGAGGTCACAAGAGTGGGTGGGAGATAGCATGGCAGGTAGAAGGAGCTTTGAGTTTTAACACCTTGAGTTTTAACAAACCCTGAGATTCCCAGCCTCTAAAGTAGCTGGGACCACAGGTGTGTGCCACCATGCCTGGCCTATTTTTGTGCCAGGGCCCGGCAGTAGGTTGGCCAGGAGAGAGCGGGGCAGGCCAGGGGGAATGTGGTGCCCAGCGGGGCTGGGCATATGGGCAGGGCACAGAGCATGTGGCATGCTGTCAGGGGGATTATGACTTGAACTGGCATGCTGGAACAGGTTGTGACATTTTCGGGATTTCTGTGAACCAGCAGTTAACCGTTTGTAACTTGTCACAGTGAGTATTTTCACATCACAAAAAACAGCAACTGCTACACTTTGGGGCTTTTTCCCTCCTTCTTCTGCCCTAGCCCCCAGAGGGCTGATTTATCTTTAAAGCATGGGTTACAGGTTTTTCTTCTTTATTCTGAGAGCAATGGGGAGCCACTGAAAGTTTTCAGTGAGAGCAGTGACATCGTCTGGCTTGCATTTGGAAGAGACTGAAAACAGAGCGGGAATTTCAGCTGGGGAAGATGGTACCATACACTCGGATGGGGGCATCTGGACAGGTATTTGTGGCCAGGAGTCTTTCCTTCCTTCCTTTCTGGAAGTTGGCTTGTTTTTGTTGGCCACCCCTCCCACCCACTGAACCTCTCCTCTCTCCTCACCCACTGCCCCTGGCTGGTTTGTCAAAACCCTTGCTCCCAGACACTACGGGGCATCACAAGGGGTAGGGGCTGGGCCATCAGGCACACTTGGGTCCGAATCCCAGCTCAGTCACTACCACTTCCACGTGCTTAGGCAGGTCACCAAAACTGTGAGCCTCAGTCCTCCAGTTTGCTAAATGGGAATAACATTAATACTTAGCAGACATTTTTGCAGGACAAAACCAGCTAATGCATATGAAAGGTTTAGCATATGGTAGGAATTTGCTATTATTGTGATTTCTGATATTATTTCCCTAACCACTTCATAATCAGCAGGACAGGAGCCAGAATCTTAGAGCCTCGCTTGGGAAAATCTGTCAATTCTGACTTACCCAGCCTTGGGCCATGCACAGGGAGGGAAGCAGAGAAAATAAAGAGGTGTGGGCCTTTCCTTCCTGCAGGGGGTTTTCACTCCAGTTAAGTTTAATTAAATTCGACAAACATTTCCTGACACCTACTAGGTGCCGGGAATGATGCCAGGTGCTGCCAGGAGGTGCCCAATGATGAAACAGGTAAAGCATTGAAAGTTCACAGTCAGGTGGGGGCGACAGACACACGGGCAACTCTATTTCAAGGCCTAGTGAAATGAAATCAGGTGTGAGTCATTCATTCATTCAGGGAGCCAACTCATGCTGTCGGCAAAAGAAGCAGAGCACACAGAAGACAATGGGAGAACAATAGATGGAGAATTGTAATTAAGCGTAAGATCGCATAAAACAGATGGTAAGCGGGATAGGAATTCCGAGAAGGGAAAAATACACCAGAACACGTCAATTACCTAGAAATTGCAGATTCTGCAGTCTAACTTTTCCAACACTTGACCGAAAACCTGGATCCCACACAAGAACCCACAATGGCTAACACTTAGGAATCGGGACCTGTTCTGAATTCTTAATGTGTGTGCATTATTTCCGTCTTCACCATCAGTCTACGAGCTGGGTTTATTTATTCCCATTTTACAGATGGGGAAACTTAAGAGGTGAAGCAACTTGCTCAGGCTCATAGTGCCAGTATGAGGAAGAGCCAGGATTTGAACTCAGACCGTCTGACTCCAGAGCCCAGCCTCTGACATGAAGCTGAGCCACCTCAACCTTTGGGAAGAAAAAGCGAGCTTGTATCTATTGGTGCCTTTAGATGTAAGTACACATTTGAACCACCAGGAACATTCACCTACCTTCCATGGACGCCTTGTAATCCAATTCCATCAGGAACGGATGCTGTGGGTGGCTCCAGTTACTCAGTTACCCTAAAGATCAGTGACCTCTGCAGTTAGAGCTTAGCATAAAACTCTGGCGTGGCTGGTGATGGCAGGTGAGTAGGTATCAGGATACCCTCCAAGAATCCTAGAGGCTCAGAACCAGGCAGGTGGCTCCTTTAAAATCACTCATTCATTCTTTCTTACCTTCACTGAGCAAACAGAGATCAGACACCTAGAACCTTCCTGACAGGAGAGTATTGCTTTCCTTCCTTCCTTCCTTCCTTCCTTCCTTCCTTCCTTCCTTCCTTCCTTTCTCTTTCTTTCTTCTCTCTTTCTTTCCTTCTTTCTTCCCTCCTTCCCTCCCTCTCTTTTGTTTCTTTCTTTCTCTTTCTTTCTTTCTCTCTCTTTATTTCTGTCTTTTCTTTCTTTCTCTTTCTTTTCTTTCCCCTTCCTTCTTTCCTTCCTTTCTTTTTCTTTCTTTCTTTCTTTTCTTTCTTTCTTTCTTTCTTTCTCTCTCTTTCCTTCTTTCTTTCTCTTTCTTCTTCCCTCCCTCCCTCTCTCTCTCTTCTTTTTCTCTCTCCTTCCTTCCTTCCTTCCTTCCTTCCTTCCTTCCTTCCTTCCTTCCTTCCTTCCTTCCTTCCTTCCTTCCTTCCTTCCTTCCTTCTTTCTTCTTGGCAGGGTCTCACTCTGTTATCCAGGCTGGAGTGAAGTGGCACAATCATGGCTCACAGCAGCCTTGACCTCCTGGGCTCAAGTGATCAATTGTTCTGCCTCAGCCTCTCAAGTAGCTGGGACCCCAGGTGTGTGCCACCACTCTTGTTTTTTTGTTTTGTTTGTTTTTAGCTTTTTTTTTTTTTAATGTTTTGTAGAGCTAGGGTCTTGTTATGTTGTCCAAGCTGGTCTTGAATTCCTGGCCTCAAGTGATCCTCCCAATTTAGCCTCCCAAAGTGTTAGGATTACAGGTGTGAGCCACTGTGCCTGGCTTCTGAGAGGTTTGCTTTGAAGAGTAAATGTGATGGCACGTGTAAGTTACCTGCAATGCAGGGTAGCAATTTTAATTATTTGTAAGACTATAAATAAGGGAGGTAGTATAGGACAATGGCTAAGGAGGTGGGCTCTAGATCAGACTAGCCAAATTTCAAAGATCAGCTGTACCACTTACTGGCTGTGTGACCTTGGGCAAGTTACTTAACCTCTCTGAGCCTGGTTTCCTGATCTGAAAAACAGAATTATAATGTATTTGTGAAGATTCAGTAATGTAGTGCCTGCAAAGTGTTTTGAAAGTGCACCCAATTACATCTTAGTTGTGCTTATTGTCAATGTGATTTACTAGCATTATTATTTGAGCCTCCTTGCTAAGGACTGGGAGAATAAAACATGGTCGTACCTTTGGGGCATTCACGGTTTAGTGAGGAGATCAGAAAATGCCCTAGATTCGGGCTGTCCCATGGAGCAGCCACTCACACATGCAGCAGGGGAGCAACTGAAATGTGGTTTGTTCAAGTTCACATGTGCTGTAAGTGTAAAACTGAAGTCTTCGTTTTTTAAGAAGAGTGTAAGATATATTGTAAGTGTAACATGTTGACATGATAATATTTTGGATATATTGGGTTTAATAAATATATTACTAGAATTAATTTCACCTTTTCCTTTTTAAACTTATCTTAATGTGGTTATTAGAAAACTTACAGTGACATATGTAGTTTACATTTTGCTTCTCTTGAACAACTCTGGTCTAGACTTTCCATTTTATAAGTAAGCAAACTGAAATCAGAGAGAGACACAGGTTTGGCTACAATCATACCCTGTCAGTGGCAGAGCCTGGAATGACCCCTAGCCTTCCAAATCCTGGCTAGGGTTCTTTGCACAGCATGGTGCTTACATTCCCCACCCCCCCAAGCATTCACACACACACACAGGAGATCTGTACCTGAGTCACGCGCACCACCCACACAGACCCTGATTGGAGCTGTGTTCCCATCCCTCGTTATATTTCTGAGCAGGTGTTAGCAATATGTATAGTTAATCAAGCTCATAAGACAATAACAGATTTCAGTTGTATGGACGATGACATAGCAGAGCTGTTAATATCAGCGTGGACACCTCAGGCTTCCCACACCCTCCCCATCAATATACTCCCCAGCCAGTGAGTCCTAGGAAAATGTCACTCTGCATCTTGCCTCCTGTCTCCTGGTGGATGGTTCTAAGTGCCGGCAGTCAGGGAGCCATCTCCATCCAGGAGTCCCTGGCTCCTGACAGATGCTTCACCCTGCACGTCACTATTAGCATCTCCCTCTTCTTTTCTCTTTCCCTTCTCTTGACCAAGTATGGCATTCCTACCCACATAGCCCAATAAAAGCCAGTTTCAGAGCCTCAGCGTTTACAGCTTTCCTTCACTTAGGCTTCCCCTATTACATTCCTATTCCCACCCTACTCCCCCTCTCCGCCTCCTCCTCCATCTCATTCCCATCCCCATCCCCACCTCATCCCCCATCTGCATTCCCATCCCCATCCCCACCTCATTCCCCATCTCCCTTCCCATCCCCATCACCATTCCTACCCTCATCCTCATCCCCATCCCTTTCCCCATTTCATCTACATCCCCATCCCCGTCTCCATCTTCATCTCCTTCCTTATCTTTATCCCCTTTCCACCCTCATCCTCAC